ACAGTTCAAAGTCGTGGTTTTGGCTACGCACTATCTACTCTGATCTCAAAGAACCGGTCACACCAGTTGTTTACGTGGACAACATCTCTGCTCTTATGTTGATTAAGAATCCGCAGTTCCACAAACGGACAAAACACATAGCTGTCAGAACGCTATTTGTTAGAGAGGCGTACGAGCGTAAACAGATTGACTATCAATACGTCGCGACATCCGAAAATCTCGCGGACGCTCTGACAAAGCCACTAAACAAACCGACTCTTGAAGAACTGAGATCGCTTACGGGCTTACGACCATGGCCTATAAAGCAGTCATGCTCGTAGTCGCGATTCTCTGCTCTCCAATGTCAACGTCTGCTCAAGATTACTTTACGTATGACGCGGACTGTGACGCGTCTTGTGTTTCTTTAAACATAAGCTGCATCATCAGTGAATCATCGAACGGATTTCTGAATCGATGTTCTCCTGCTCCATCAATGTGCATGGACGAAGCCTCTGAGGCAGTGGTCTGCATGAGGCCGTCGTTTCCCCCTTTCGGTGGTGAACGAATTTGGCCGGAATTCAAAGCTAGATTCCATCCCTACCGCCCTAAGATCGATGAATCGGCCGTCTTGCACTTAGCCTTGGCCGGTGCGAGCGTGCTCATGTTTATCATCGTGCTCCTGGGTTCAGCTTTAGGCTGCATGATATTCCCTAAAAATCAATTCCAACATCAAAGATATGCAAACCCTTCACCTGAGCATGGCACGTCTCGCCCGCGCTTCCTGCTTCATATCCCGCGTTGCAGACTAACTCTTACAGATATGCCGCGGGCAAAGTGGCAATCTTTTTGGCTCTTCCGCAAGTCAAATGGAAGAGATCTCTGCTCCCGTGGGGCCCTGGAGCGCGCATGGGCAACGGTGCCTGGGCATGAGCGCGTTGCCTGGCGCACCCCGTGCCGAATCCTCAATGGAGCTCTGGTGACCGCAGAAGATACTGCGGATCACAATGACCCGACACTGGGTCCGGACGTCTACTTCACCCACTGATTCGAAATTCAAAAATCCAACCCGGAGCCCAAACTGGTTTCCGATGATTGGGTGAGCACCATCATCGACGACTGGATGGTTCCCCCGGACTCGAACACTCCAGTGTCTGACCCAGTCCCTCCTCCAATCACGCCCGCTGCTCAATCGCCCTGTGCTGCTTATCTCACCGGAGCAGCAATTCGGTCCAAAACATATAAAACCAAACCGCCTGTCGAAGAGGCGATGAAGCCCGTTGATAAGGCCTCTCGTCTCGAGAGAGCTCTTCAGCTCGTCAGGAATATAGAAAATCAACGTGATGATTTGCGTAAAGACCTACGCAAAATGCAGGGAGAACTTGACCGTGTGGCCAGGGAAAATATGGATCTGAAATTGAGGCTCGAAAAACAAGAGGAGCTTTTTCATGACTACATGGACACAGCACTCCGCAACTACCCCAAGGAATCTTGTAACTAGCGCTCACTCTAAACTCTGTACCCCTTTGCTAACGAACCCACGGATGAGTCTCTCTCTTAAGTGAATGCAAGTCCATTGGAGATATACATATTTCTATTTTACTCAATAATGACGATATTAATAATGTAATTATTCACACTCCTAATACACCCTGTATGATCGACAGATAGTCTTCTCTGAGTTCCCGACTCTGCAAACTTTAACAGAATCAGGCTTGATTGCCCTTGACATTCTGAGAAAGACACACGTCTGGGCCGTCTTTGACCAATAGGCCAGACGTTCCTCAAATTCACACTCATATTCCATCATATCTATCTCTCGGATTTCTGTGTCCCCTTGGGTAACATCCTGAGTCGTCTTCTTAATTGCGTCCTCCGTCCGTGTCTTCGTTCCGAAAGTCGCATGTGCTTCGCCTGCTTCGGCTGTGTATCCCCTCGCCTTCGTCTCGGAGTCCCATCTTGGTTCCTCCTGGGCTCGGGCCGCCGTCTGGACGGCGAGCGAGCTCGAGGCCTGGGATGTCTACACTGCGCTCGCACTGACAGTCGCACTTCTTGGGTGACCCCATCCGAGTCGCAGATAGACTCCACCTATATCAAAATACAGACTCTACAGAAATGTAAACCTGAACATCACAAATACAACATTGCCTCCACATAGGCATAGAGGACCACTAAGCCGAGCGCAGCGCGGTCAACAACAAGACAGCGATGGTGATCATCCACCACCACGCCTCCACGAGCTCCCACCACTGACACCAACCACCGGGGCGAGCGGCGTTGTCTTCAACCTCGGGAGTCGCTGCTCGCTGTTCTCGAACTTCTTCGAGTAGAATGGACTCAACATCCATCGGGGCAGTTGGCTGTGGAGCGACTGCGGCTCTTCTGCGCTCCAGTGCTGCGGCCAACATTCGATTCCCGCTCCGGGGGTTGACTGCGCCGGCCCATGCGCCCCATCCCCAGCCGAGAGGTGTCCAGTCGATTCCGCCAGTTCCGTCCACGCTCTCCGGACTACTTACTCCCTTACTGGCGAGAAGGTCATCGACGACTCCGTCTTCGACGGCCGCGTCTCCTACTGACCACATCGCCTGCCCCGACCTCCAGAACATATACGATAGTGAAATCAGTAGCCAGCGAAACACCTTCGCGCGAACATCCTCAGCTCGATCCATCTTCCTTCAAGACGAGGTTCCTCCGTACGTCTTCAGGTATCACAAAACACCGAGACTTGACGTTGGACTTCGCTGCCTTTGGACTGTCTTCGCAGATTCCTAGCTCGAAAACTCTTCCGAACTCCAACACTGCTTGACCGAAATAACCACCTAACTGTCCCAGCTCCAGACTTCTATGCAACAGTTCTACTTAACAACCAATCATTTCAAATCAACTCTTTCTGGAGCTGTCGCGGAAGCCTCCTGGACTCTTAACCTTGCTCTCTAAGCCGAAATGAAAAACCCGTTTTTCTATGGATTCCTTCATGGATACCCTCCATATTTTCACAAAATTATTGACTTTCTGTGAGAGGGGAAAACTGGACATGTAGCTCATGGCACAGAGACCACCATTCCTTGTCAATTGACCAAAAATCTTCATCATGCACGGATCTCCATTGTGATGCTCCGAACTCTCGGTGGGTGGGGCCGTCACGGCGCGGCCGTATTCACGGCCAATCGGTGACCTGACGATGCATGCGCTTGGGTCGTTGACCTGCATCTGTGGAGTGCACTGGTCGTTGACCTGAGCCACTTGAGACGCACTAGCTAGAGATCAGACCAGAAAACTCTGTAAGCATACATTTCTCGTGAGAATTGAAAAAAACTCCGAGTCGTCATGTAAAATACGTTTTTATTTCTCTGTCGCTGCCAATCTCTCCGGATATTCACATCTAGAGGGGATGTCGGGATGAACAGAATTGGAAGCTGTGAATCCTCAGACTCGGTAGCGTCGTGTCGATGTGACTCATAGCGTGCGTACGCTTCCCTCGTGAGTCATACATTCGGGGTTCTCAATCCCGGTTCCGACGTAAGCTAAATGATAGTCCGCTAGCACGAAAGCGGGACTTAAGGTTGCTAGAGTGAGTCACCCATTGGGTGGCCCAATATATTGTACGGAGACTCATCCAGCCTATGTATGTAGGTAAGCATGGTAAAGAAGGTGGAGCTCGCCCCACCCTAACTTCTATATAACGAGGATACAATCCGAATAAACTTTACTGTGGTGTCTCCCCTCTTGTGAGACTGTACTTCTGTTAATTCACTTCGCTCACTGAGCTAGTGTGTTTCCTCCTATCCGACCTTTCCTTCAACCAGCCTTTGCCAAGCTGTTCCAACAGATGTATTTCGAGAGAGTGAAACAGATGGACCAAAAACGCTGGCCCAGACGTATCCTCACTGCCATAGAGTTGACCAGAGCTAGGGTAACTGCAGTAGAGAGACCCAAAAAATTGAGAATGCAGTTCGGCCTGGAGCAACTCGAGCTCCCGAATAGTACATCCGGACAAAAAATGTGGAACGTATTTCGCAAAGAGCTCAAAGCAAGAGTGCGGAAAAAACTGGATGACTTATGGCGACAGAACATGGTCACCAAAACCACATTACGTACATATATATCTACAATACAAAGACAAAAGGGGTCTTGAGAGAAATATAATACGACAACATGCGAGGCAGCCGACTCTTGGCGCTTGCAAGGGCAGGAATGCTCAACACCAGGAGTCGACAACATGCCCGAGACCCTTCGATCGACGAAAGCTGCCCCAAATGCGGAGCCCCAGAGACAGACACCCACATCGTTCTGGAATGCGAGGAAGGAAGATTCGACCCACAGGAATATTCGTACCGACTTGTACTTCACCCGGGTACAACCGCGAATGATCTAAGGAGGACGAAAAATATCTTGACGAAGTGGGCGGATGAATGATCTGTGAATGCAAAAAAAAAATTCACCCCTGAAATGGAAGGGACCACATATATGTACCTATATGCATATGGAAGATCGAAATAAAATCAATCAATCAATCGATCGGGATCGTTCTTGATCTTATCATGACCAAATCTTGAATATCATCCCAATAAATTGAGTCCGCATCCTACATGGGTCTGATCCTTTCGGTATTGCTCCGATCTCTAATCCAAGCCTCGTCTCATCGAAACTTATCGCCTCGAAAAGCGAGGGATGATCGATCAGACTCGATCCCCCCCTAGAATCGTCATGGGGCTCGCTAGCAACAAGGGCGGCCGGAAGTTAGCTGTCGACGGATGCATCTACAATTTCGACAAAGGTCAGCTGATGGGGAAACCCCCTTCTGGCGATGCGAACAGAAGGGCCGTTGCACAGCACGTATACACACGAGAGCGGAAGAAGTCGTCAAAGCTATCAATCTCCGTAGCCACGATAGCGATACAGCTGAGATCGGTGTAAAAAGAGCACGCTTAGATCTGAAGGAGCGGGCTGCTTACACTGTGGGAGGGACGTCGCAAGTCATAAATGCCACTCTTCAGAATCTGCCTCAGTGCGTCCTTGGCGTGATGCCCAAACGTTCTGCTCCGAGGAAGACGGTACAAAGCGTGAGCATTCAGAAGGCGCAAGCTCCGGCTCCGCCGGTCAACTTGGTGGATTTGAGAATTCCTCCCGAGTACACGATCTACAATGCGAGTCCCGAAGAATCTGGGCAATTCCTGCTGAAGGGCAGCGGTCCCGAGTCAGATCGCATACTGATTTTTGGACGAGGTCACAATATCGGTGAACTGAGGCATAGTAAGACATGGTTCATCGACGGGACATTCTCTCTGGTGCCGCCGCTCTCCCGTCAGGTCTACGTTATCCTGGCCGAGAAGAACAGCGGAGTCCATCCCTTCCTCTACGTTTTTCTGCCGAACAAAACAGAAATTACTTACACGCGGATGTTCGTGATGTTCAAATGCTTGCACGAGCATATCGATCCCGAGATCATGAACTGCGACTCTGAAATGGCCGCCATAAACGCTATCCGCACAACATTCCCGAATGCACGCGTAGCCAGTTGTTTCTTCCGTCTTGTTGGCAATATGACGAAACATCTGGGCTCGTCGGGATTAACTTCACGCTACAACAACGAAGAGAATTTCGCGTGCTTCGCGAAGATGATAACTTCACTGGCCTCCGTGCCCCCGGGGGATATCGAAGGAGCCCTCGCTGCGCTCGCTGAAGAAATTCCGCCAGAACTTCAACCGCTCCTCTTCGGGTTCGAAGACAATTGCATAGGGCGATCGTCCCGGCGCGGCGACCGCCTCGCTCCTCTTTTGCCGTCATCGCTTTGGAGCGTGTACGAGCGAATTCTCGGAGGATCTCATAGAACCAATAACCACGCTGAGGCCGCCCATCGGCGCTTACAAATGGAGCTAAACGTCCAACACCCTTCTTTGTGAGTGTTCATCGATGCCTACCGGGGAGTCGGAAGGGTCGCGATGCATACTATGATTCCATGGGCAAGGAAATCACTCTTGAATCACCCATGAATCTCTCTATGGTGTTAAGACTGGTGGGCTGTTTAACTTCCAGATGGAAATCTAGCCAGGGATTTTCGAAAATTCACGGATAACTCAGTATAATTCACCGTATATCGATGCTGTGGGGTATGAATTCATGTTGTAGAGAATAAATTGATTTATATTCGAGTATAATTCAGTATGACGTACTATGACTCATCATGACGCGGTATAATTCAAGATCATTATTTATGAGGTAATATGACATAGTATTAACCGATTTATACTGCTATAAATTGAGATACAAATAACAAGATTCGAGGTGGTCACCCACCTTGATGTGGAAGGGCGGGCAAAAATTTCATCCTTGAGACAAACATTCACCCACAACGCCTGATTAAGCAGGGCTTCGAATATGACGTCATGGAAATGGGGGGACGGGCAAGGATATAACCTTTGAGTAAGACATCAACCCGCCAAGCACGGTCAGAGTCAAACATCAACCCGCCAAGCATGGTCAGAGTCATACACTCACCCGCAGAGCATGGTGAGCCAGCGCGTCAAGATTGAGTCAACCTGCCTGGGGGTGGGCGGGTGGGGCATGAAAAGTGAGGTCAACCTGACCCATCAAACACCCAGAGCAAGGCTGCCTACCTGCCCCCATGGCTCCCAGGAGCAAGGTCAACCTGCCCACCCCTGGCTCCCGTGAGCGAGAGTTTGCGGGAAGGTTTTTGCCGTTTGTGTATATATAATATATTCATTCTTATGTATACATACTTTCCTTTTAGCACTATACTTGGTTTTTTCTATTTATACTTTGTTCCCTCTATTTATTGTACTCAGTATTTTCTATTCATACTTTGTTCTCTCTATTTATACTCTGTATTCTGTATTTATACTTGGCTCTATTCATGCTTGGTTTTCTCTATTTATACTTTGTTTAATCGTCTGCTCGTTCTCGAAAACAACAGCACACGCTGAAAAAAAGTGCGAGTGCGTGCAGAGTAAACACAACTGTGCAACGCGCCCGGCACGCACGGGCTGTCCTGCAGAATGAGCGCCGGAAGGTGGTCTCGCCACTCCCAAATTCACGAGACGTTCAGTCGGGCTCTTCGCACCGCTCAGGTACCTAATCTGAGGGAACCCCAAGGACTGAGCCGCAACGATGGCAAGAGACCCGATGGCATGACACTCGTGCCCTTCGAGAGAGGAAAGGCCCTTGTATGGGACGGAACGGTTGTCGACGCCCTAGCCAATTCATATGTCGACGCCGGGAGCCTATCGGTGGGCTGTGCAGGCGCCAGAGCGGAGGCTCTCGAGCTCCAGAAGTACAGCGAGCTGAGCGTCAATTACTTAGTCGCACCCCTGGCTTTCGAAACCCTGGGCGGGCCGGGACCAGCCACGAGATCACTACTCAGGACGGTGGGACAGCTAGTGGAGGGGGCGACCGGTTGCAGGCGATCCAGCGAGTACCTCTTGCAGCGTTTTTCCTTAGTTGTCCAGGGGGCAATGCTGCGGCCGTCATGGGTACCATGGCCACCAGGGGCCACACCTAGAGCTACAGCTGTAGAATAGCGTGGTAGCAATGGTGGAATGAATTAGAGTCTGGAAATTAATTCAACTGATAGGGGACCATAAACTGATGGTGGCTCTTTATGCGAAAGTCTAGACTTTGAAAAAGAAAAACTCGAAATTGTGGAGACCGACTGTGCTGCTGACGTCATCGACTATTGACAGTGGAGTCGGCGGAACGCCGTCTGGCGGCCTCCTCTGTAACGAGTGAAATCTCTCTTTCTGCGCGTACACTGAAGGTGTCTGCGACACTACTCATGATCATGGCACGGAATCGCACCCGGCTCGCGTTGTGACCAGACCTGTGCGCCGCGGTTGAAGGCGACGGCGGCGGCGGTGGACCGAAATATTTACGGCGGCGAAGCACGCCGCGGCGTTTTGCGACGGCACGGCCCGCCGCGGCGTTTTGCGACGGCACGGTCCGCCGCGGCGGGGCAGATCAGTCGGCGGCGGGGCGACTCCGTAGCGCGTTGCTGAACTCGAGAAGACATCATGCAAGCATGTTTCCCCCACACCTTATCCGCTCCGCGAGCTGACTGAGAACATATCACTCGATGATCCCCTGTTCCAGCCAACTCACGCGGGAACTGTTATGGAAATTGATGAAATGAACAAGCCAAGAGAGTTGTGTTCGAAAAACCCGAGCAGCTCATCCTTCTTGGGGCTACATCACTCGGCTCAGATGAAGGCTTTATTATCATGGATGAAGAGAACTTTCGAGGCGGTCACGGAATCCATCGTAGACCTTTTTTCACGCAGTAAATCGCCAGCGGTCGAAGAACGTCTCTCCGGCTCAGCTGAGGTCGCTGGTATTGATAGGATGACCCGTGGTAATTTGGCTAGAGCAGGAAACGAGGGTTTGTTTTCGAGCCACCATTCCAGGGCCTCATTCCAGCCTCATCTTGATCGGTTGGCTTGCGTGACTCACAAAGTTTCACGCGACAAGCCAGGTAACGCTCCGCCTGGTTTGTCAAATCGTCGGAGGAATTTGTCGAGAACCCATACTTCGCTGTGAGTGAGGACCTCTGCTTTTTCGCTGGTGTTTCCACGATAACCGGAACTCCTTCATCAGCGGGAGTTACAGTCGTACACTCGAAGACAGCATCCGACAAGAATTGCGCAAGGCTGTCGCCAGCAATCTCTGTCCTTGTTATTCAAGCATGATTCAGCGCACCTTCCTTGGAGCTGTCTGAAGACGAACTGCTCTATTTACGAGATACCGAAACCACCCAGACGATTGAATACAAGCGCGCGCTGAGTCCTCAACATGCCCTTCTTTCCTGACCTGCTTACCAAAACTAGAATCGGTCGACTATTGAAAATGTGGACATTGCCGAGAACTCCTCGCCCGCCTCTGAGCTGTCTCGCAGTCTCTGTAGCGCCCCCGTACACAAACTTGAGATCATATTCTTGCTTCGAATTCTATTAATTTACACAAATTATTCTTCCTGCCATTGCTTTTCTAGAATCACATTATGTCCTTTGTGTGCGCTGCATCGTTTCCCTTAAGAATTTTCTGTTCCTTTCCAACTCATTTCCCTCGGAGGTCTCGACCGCGTACCGCCTACCGCTGATAACTCCGGTTATCCTTCCTTTTTTCCATTCCTTGCGATGACCGTCGGGTTGAATTCGAACGGTTGCTCCCATTTGCAAAGGAGGGAGGGCCCTTGCACCTCGATCGTGCGATGCTTTTGCTTGTCGACGTCGCGTTTGTATTGCTTCCTTGATTCCGAGCGGGAGCTTTTCCTTCAGCGCCTCGACGCGAACCGGCAGAGAGGCTCGCGTTTTCCTGCACTGGAACTTTTCTGCCGGCGAGAGTCCATCGGCTTGAGGTGTATTTCGCCATTCGAGCAACGCCAGCTCTACATCCTCACCTGCCGCCTCCGATTTCTTTCGGAGTCGTTTTGCGATCTTAACAGCTGACTCCGATTTGCCGTTTCCTTCATGATGGTGTGGCGCCGACATTTCCATTTCTATATTCCAGTCCTGGCAGAAGCGTCTGAACTCCGCACTCTGGTATCGCGGGTCGCTATCCGTTCTCAGCTGCTTGGGCTGTCCGAAGCAACCGAAAAGTTTCTTGCAAACGCTTTTGACTTTGGTGGTTGTCGACGTTAGGCCAAGTAGAGTCATGTCGAAGAAATCGCTGAAGCCATCCACCGTGACAAGGTACTTCCGCCCTTTCCAGTCGAACAGATCCTGGTGGACGATTTCGAAGGGATGGCGTGGAATTTCTCCAGGGATCAATGGTTCTCGTCGCTGCTTGATGCTGAACGTTTGACATGCATCGCAATTTTCCACCATGACTCTAATGTCGTTGTTCAGTCCCGGCCAGAACAGAGTGCCTCTGATCCGTCGCAACATAGCATCCAACGCAAGATGCGATCGGTGTACATGCTTGAGAAACTCCGATCTGAGTGCTTGGGAGATGAAGCATGCCTCGTTATGAAACACGAGTCCTCCTGGACGAGCTCGCCGCTGAACGGTTTGAAGATCGACACCCCCGGGTCTGTCCAATCATTTGTTTTGATGGCTTGAAGGAGTTTTCCAGCAGTGGAGTCTGTCTGCATGGCTGCTCGTATGCGTTCTGTTGTCCGGTCCGAAACTCTGCCGTTTCCTTCATTTTTTGTTTCCTCGAGTTCCAATCGAAGAACTATCTCTCGATTCTGCGGCTTAGTCGTAGTGGTTTGCAGTGGTGCTCTACTAAGGGCATCTGCGATGACGTTCTTAGAGCCCGCGATGTACTCGACTCTGATATCGTATCGTTGCAAGGCCAACCTCATTCGCTGGAGTCTTCTTGGACAGTCTTCGAGCGGTTTCTCGAATATTCTAGCCAGCGGCTCGTGATCAGAGAGAATTCGTATATTTGGCTTGCCAAATAGAAGATTATCGAATTTCGTGCACGCCGACACAATCTCAAGCACTCTTTCTCCAGAGCAGCGTATCCTTGCTCCGCTGGACTTAGAGTGTGAGAATGGTACGCTATGGCCTTGTTGTCCTGGAGCAACACTGCTCCGATCCCTCGGTCCGCCGCGTCGGTCATAATTGTTGTCTTCTTTCTCGGATCGTAGATAGCAAGCATCGGCGCCTCTGCAAGCAGCCTCTTGATTTCGTCAAAGGCTTTTTGCTGCGACTCCATCCACATAAAATGATTCGTTTTTTTGATGACCTCTCTGATTGTGAGTGGGAGCGAGATACTTGCGAAATTTGGGAGGAAAGCAAGCAGATAGTTCGCCATGCCGAGGAATCGCATAACGGCCTGCACGTCCCGAGGTGCCTCCATCTCCAAAATCGCTCTCACTTTTGCCGGATCTGGTCTCACTCCTTCATCTGATATGATGTGTCCCAGGTAGCGGACTGATCTTTTTCCT